TCATTTTATTAAGCCGGAAAATTATATTTTTTTAACTATACTTAGTGGTCTGACCATATCTGTCGAAGAATTGGTAACTGCTTGGGTAGATGAATTCTTGAGAAGAGATTTCCACTCGGCAAGCATAGTGAAGGCTGTAAATGACGATAATTAGCCTAGGCGCAGACCACCGATGGTTGGGCCCGATTCTAATTTGTATGAAGAATCGGCCGATACCAAATCGGTGTAATGTGCGCACTTTCATACATCAATCAATATACATAGCTACTGATCAACAGCCCGACCCAACTATCGGCCAACTAAAAACCGGTGGTCTGCGCCTAGGCTAAATACCTAGTACCTATCGGGTAGCTAAAGTAAATTAAACACCTTATTTTTTAAGTAACTACATATAACTACAGTACCAAATAAACGCAATGTATTTTTTCTCTACAATTTAAAACGTTAAAATTGGATTTTTCTCTACTTTTTCAGATATTTTATTTTTCACTCCAATCTTTTCTATTTCGTCTTACCCACACAAGAAAATGCATCAATTTGTTCATATTCCCAAGGAAGTGCTTTTCACACTACATCTCCTTGTCACTCGTCTTTGAACGTTAATAACCGCTCCGTGGTGACAAATGCATTCTCCCTGCACATCCCAGGAGCGCCTTGTTACCAGGTGATAGAGTTGAAATTTGAAAACCCACATTATGATAATAAGAGGGTGGTCAGAATCAGAAGTGAGTAAGCAGTTTTTCTTTTTATGTACCTACATTTAAACTCAATTTATGTTCTGCTGAGTAACGATGTTTTTGAGGTTTTTTAAACAATAAGGTTTTATGTCAATCTTGTTTATTACGAAGACTAGTAAATAATTGAACCAAATTGGTAGTTATATGCGGCTTTAATAATGACTGTTTAAATATTTGTATTAAATTGATTGTTATTATGAGCAAATAAATTCTTGGTTCTAAGGCTGAGTTGAACCATCTTACTTTAACAGTAACTATAACAATAACTGGTGTTTTTGTATAGAGTTTGACAGATTTTTGACTTTTGTTAAAGTTAAAGTAAGATGGTGCAACCAGCCTAAGTAATCCTTTTAACAAAATAGCAATAATTTATTGAAGTCTATTATGGAAATTCTCTATAAGAATTTCCTGAAAACTCTAAAATATTTTCCGGTTACCGAGTTTTATGTCACAGCAAGCGCTGGACCATAGACTATTAGATGCTAAACGGGATTGATGGCTTGTAACCAAGGTACACTCATAAATTTCACTATATGCTGCCCTTAGGGCAACGACCTGCAGTCTTCACACTTCAGTCCATTATGGCGTCTGCTCATGATTCTTAAAAAAGATTTTTTTATACTTGTGATTCAAACTTGATATGGAGCGATCCCTTAGGGTAAGGTGTAAGAAAGTCTTGTTTGAAACTTTAGGCTTTACGTAGAACTGCTTACTTAGCTATGTTGTATTCAAAGAAAGCTCATCGGTCTACAGCAAGTTTGAAGGATTACATAATAACTGCCAATTTTAGGATAGGTTTAGGTTAGGTTAGGTTACAATATTACGACTCAAAAATTACACAAAGTAGCGAGTAAAGTAAACATTCAAGTAACTCATGGTAATAGAAAACTATTTGATGCTCGTTTATTTGTTTTATATGCTATCGACTGTAGCAAACCAATACAATTTTTGTCATAGTTTTAAAATGCATTATCGCACTTTGGTAAGTTTGCTAGTTAAGATACTACGATTTTTTTACTACTTAGGTAGTCTTTTTAGACTTATATCTAGTTATATTAATACTTTACCGTTAAAGAAAGCGGGCATAATTATCCGATAACTCTAAACGAGATGCTCGCTTGTTTTCTTTGAAAGACCGTGCAAAGTTTTCTTTCGTTCCACTCAATATCAGGTTATTGTTATCATAGCTTGAGTGGTCCACAGCAAAGTCGTGTCAGGTAAACAAGTATAAAATACAAAGGCAGAGAGACATCGTGTATTTTTTTTTTTTTTTATTTGTGTTGAGCGGCTATTCTAGTTCAATAAAGTCCTAGTATCACTGCGACCGTTATCGATCTATTGTGATCGCCGCTGTTTTCCTTACAGTTCGCCTCCGAGTCCTGCATCCATTAGGAAGTGCAGTATCTTTTGGGGGGCGATATGTTTTACATCTTGTGGGCTTAGGATGTGTTTGCCCAGGTGTATGCTCCGCTTGCGCATCAGAGGTCCGCAGTCCGTGAGCATGTGTAGTGGCGTTTCATCTGCCTCTTGGCACATCCTGCACGTTCTTGTTTCGGACAGTCCCATAGTGGACAAGTGCTTGTTTAAGCTGCAGTGTCCAGTGAGGGCTCGAACTAAGATGCGCATTTTGGTCCTACTCAGTCCTATGATCTGCTTAGAGCTTTNCTCTCCTGAAAAATCGTGTTTTGTCCCTTACAGTAATTGATATTTCCACTATCGATAAATTCTCTATTTTACTTCCTTAATTATTTGCGACATTCATTTTAAGAAATCACACAAAAAATAAAAAAAAACAATAGTTGTCATATTACATTTTTTGTTATATGTTTTTTACTCCAATGAAGTGTCGTAACCAGCTGTAAACACAAACAAAACAATAAACAGGTACAAACACGCGATATTAGATTACTGATCTACATAGTTTGCGCTAATAGAAACTGGCATTTAATAAAGAAAGAAAATCCATAAAAACCGCTGGAGTAACGCCCTTGTTCACAAACATTACTATGAGGTCTCACAGTGCGCGTGGACGCACAGAGGGCTTTGTGTGAGTTTACATCAAACGTCGTCAATAGCGCGCGCGTTAAAAAATTATATGAATATTTAAAGTTCTTAGTTCTAGAAAGTATCCGCTAGGGGCGCTGTACAATCCGTCATACATTTAAGGTCACTTATTTAGGCAGTTGACATTGAATGCGTTTGACGTAAACTCACACTACGCCCCCAGGGTGACACACGAACCAATCACAGAGCTCTATTCAACGCTGTGCGTTCGATTTGCTGCTTCACTTAAGCAAGCATCGTTTGTGAAAACGGATGTAAGAGTCTCCAAATATGGCACGTAAGTCCGTGAAAGTTCCAAAGTTTGTATAGGGTAATAATTAGTTAGACAATTTTATTCCAAACTTTACAGGATCTTATCGATAATTGAAAAACACGTGTTTCAGGTTTTTAGAATCCAATAATAAGGGGAAAATGAGTGGGCTGACAAAGTCGGAAAATCAACATGGGTGCTTGTATAATTTCTCTGATCGCTAATATTATTATATTAGCGATCAGAGAAATTATCGCGATGAAGACTTTCTGTGACAGAAGGAATTTGTAATTAAGTAGGTTTAGGTACTTGATAAATAGAAGAGGTTTGGTGTCAGCTATTTTTAGATTTATTTGTTACTAGCTTTACGCCCGCCGCTCCGCCCGCGTGGAATTTTGTCTGTCACAGAAAAACTTTATCGCGGCGTCCCTGTTTCAAAAACCGGGATAAAAACTATCCTATGTCCTTTCCTAGGACAAAAACTATATCTATGCCAAATTTCATTAAAATCGGTTCAGTGGTTTAGGCGTGAAAGCGAGACTAGAACAGAACAGACTAGACCAGACTGACAGACAGACAGAGTTACTTTCGCATTTATAATATTAGAATACATAGTATAGAAGGTATAGATAGTATATATAGTATAGATAGTATAGATCAGGGTTTCCCAATTTTTTTTTGCCAAGGAACCCTAATTGATTATACTTTTCCTAGCGGAACCCCCGTACTAATCCGCCCGCACGCCCTGCCCCTCCCTTGTGCGTAAACAAGTCGGTGCGAGCGAACAATGTCGGTCACGAAACGTGGGATAATATTTTTTACGGAACCCTTGCGGCCTTTTCACGGAACCCCAGGGTTCCGCGGACCACCATTCGGGAACCGCTGGTATAGATACTATCTAATAGATTAACTACCCGCCCCGGCTTCGCAATAGAATTCCAAAATTCGGAGCCTATAATACAAACATGCAAAATTAAATACAAATATTTCTTCTTTATAGTGTCTGTTAGAAACATTGCCAGTTTCTATAGACTGCGCTTGCACAGGTGAACGATCGATCGATCATTTTCACTATCGCGCTCACACTTGCTATCAAGATGATCATTGTGTCAAATAAATCACTCTATAATGATCTACTTTGTAAGTTTATGTCTCAATCGGCATATTTTTATACTAAAAATCATTTTCAAGTCAATTTATTTACAAATTAACGTTTCGACAAATTGATATTATATTGTCTGTGACAAGTTAGAATAAGTTTAAAGTTTTAATAACTATTTGTTTTTAATGCGTGTTTAGTTGGTTTAAATAATATATAAATATCTTTGGACATTATGCACTGCATCTAATCGCAAACTAAGCAAAGTTTGTATCATGGGTACGGTCTACTATATAAAAGATAAACATGGTACTTAAATAGTAAATAATAAGTTAGAGTTTTCATAACACGTTTTGTAACATAATTTGAATGACACTTTCAAGCTTTATTAGCTTAAAGCTCCTCGTTAAACTTTCGAAAAGCTTTTACACACAATAATAGTCCTTTCTGAGCTATGTTGTTATTTATGAACACTCTTAATAATTTATAACAAACTTACATGACCTATTTTTATATTTTAGAGACGTAGCGAAGCAATAACGAAATGGAAGTTGTCTTTAAAATAAAATTATCTAGAATCTCACGTCCATAATTGAGAAGATATTTTTTATTAATTAAGGGGGCTACAGTTTAATCTTATTTTTGTCAGGTCTGTAAAGATAAAAATCGTAACTAAGAAAAATATGCTTGTACTTGTGTCTGTCTTGTTGGTTGTCCTAAATAATTAAATAAATATGGGCCTTTTGGCTTTCATATGAATTACGTATATCACAAGTAGGTACCTAAGTACTTTGGAAAAAGCTTGCTTTACCATTTCCTATTTCAAAACTTTAATAAGCTAACTACTTACTTTTCCCCAACAAATCCATGATAGAGTCATCTTCCTGTGACGATGCATAGGCATTATGGTGGTACGATCCCTTCCTCCTCCCAAGAGCATCCAAGAGAAGTATATCCTTTTCTTGCTCATTCGACGGCCTTCTCCTGTCCGAAGCAGCCTCATCCTTCAAGTCCAAGTCGTCTTGCAAAGTCAGAACGTCATTCTCAACGTCAGAACTTAAAACACAATTCGAAAATGCCGCGAAAATCACAAAAACACTTATCAGATTCATCTTTCCACTTGTTCTTCTTCGAATTTTGAAATTTTGAATTCCATCTACGTAGTGTTCCATGTCACTCGTTCACACACATTTTTGAACGCGTTCGATCCGACGTCTTTACGCGCGTAGCGTTACGTCGGAAGTAACTGCAGAGTGTAGTGAGTGCCGCCTCTTTTCACTTTCGGGGAGTTCCGTTGGTGACGAACTTTTGGATTTGGAATCGAGATTACGAAATTTGAAAATTTGAACTGTTGTTTTTATTTTTTCTTCTTATCTTGACTTTTTAACGAATAAAGAGGTTTTGTGCCAGCATTTCGTTACTTTTTTTCTATTTTAGACTGAAATATAGCAAAGGTGTTGTCGGTTAGAGTGCGTGATGCGTATAAATGGCAAATGCGTTTTTAACAACTTCTCGGTCGCCACGTGCTCGCTAATTTGTCTCTAATTAGATCTAAATTTCGTAATCGATACGCGGATTTTGAGTGCTTGATACTTGCAAGACAATGTTGTTTTTTAAGCAATCAGTAACACAGTACACACAAATGTTTTTGAAGATAATGACCACAATTTGTGGTAAGTATTTACAGTGATAGAGGCAAGTAGGGTACCCTTACAGTCAAAAGTACAGAATTATAATCTTGGGAAAGACACATAATTTTTGAATTTTTCTTCTTCAGTAGGTATCTTATCGCGGACTCAATCTGATTTTACTGATTAAAAAAGATTCCTTATGCTTCAGACGCCTCTAGCTTCTATTTTTATACTAAAACATTTAATATTTTCTTGCTTGTAAAATTAGAATCTACTAGTAATTTCATTTGCTCACTTATTTCAATTAACTTACTTTAACGACTCTAACAATATTCATAGCAACAGTTTACATACATTTTGCATATCCCTTTAGCGGTCTTACCACGTCAATTGCTCCTCGATTTTGAACTTTAACATAAGGCAATAAAGTCTAAAATATCCTGGCAACTGTATTCCAATTGCCTTGTTAGAAATAGTATTCCTCTATGGCCATAACTTCAGCTATTTTAAGAACAGAAAATCGATTTCCTGTTAATTTCTCGTTTTCACTTTGTAAGGAATAATTCTAATAAATAAAATAGCGGATTATTTAAATACAAGAAACAGATATGATTGCTACAGAACTACTTTTCTATTTAATAGTTCCTTGAATACAAATCTAATACTTTGCATTAATCTAGTGGTTAGAGATTGGGAATATTATCTCTACACAGGGGGTTCAAGTTTGATTCTCAGATGAGACACAGTCTTTAGCAATAAATTACTTTGTGTATTTCCCAGCAAGTACATTTAGTTTTCTAATTCTGTGTTTCTAAAACTCATATCTAATACTGATTATTTTTTTGCAAATACTTTAAGCTTTTAAAAAACGCTTGAACTTTCCGCAGTAATATTTTAACCCTATCACTGCTTCGGGACCATAAATGGGCCAGTGCTGAGAATATTAATCTGTCTTGTTTTTATGTTATGTCAGACGATTATGACTATGGCGGCTCTTAACGTCATATTATTAATTATTAAGATAAGTTAACAATTTACTAAAAAAAAAATTTTTTCAACATCTGTCATGTGTTGGTAAATCTTAAACAATAAATAAATAAATAAATAAATAAATAAATAAATAAATAAATCTGTCTTGAATTACTTATTAATTAAGTTGACTAGTATAAACAAACCTAACCTTACAAATGCGATCCGTTTAAAGTATCAATTCTATCTGGTCACACTCGGCATGGCGGCACAACTTTCGCTATACGAGTAGCTTTCCAAAACGTACGAACCTCGCCTAAAAGGTCTTAACACTTGCACAATCCAAACTAAATCATACCTTTTGTGGATCACATCTAGGTTGAATATTGCTTGATTGTGTGATCTACTCGTAAATGCACACCATCAGAAGTATAGTTTTAGGTTTTATGTAATTGTAATACAGTTTAAATTCGAATGGTGAGGTGAGAAGTCAGGATGCAAGTAATTTTGTCTAATAGACAGTCTACTTTCTTCCTTAATGACATTGGTCATGGTCCGATCAGATTGCGTAAACTTAACTAATTTGATTTTGATAGGGTTAATAGATCAATTGTTGTGGAAAAGCTGTGAGATGTTTTCTCACGTTAGCAATGGTTAGTGACTCAATTTGTCATAGAAGTCCCGAGTTCTATTTCTTGATAGAGCAATTAAAAAGGGAACTTTAGGTTCTGTTTGTAACTTAGGTTTTTTTTTATGCAGGAAAAGACAGGTATTTGACCGCAATCGTACCTGGTGTTAAGTAAATTCAAATGTCATTTTTCGTTTCAGTAAATAATAATGTGTTTTAGTGCTTCGAATTTGTAGCCTTTAAAAGCTCGTGCGGCCTTGATATTATATTTTATTTTAAATATTCTTAAAGGGGTTAAAAATGTGTATGTAATAAGTCTTATGTTTAGCAAAATGAAAACTCTTTGATGTTAGTTATAAAATGTTACCAAAAGTAAAGAGAAGGCGCGAGAAAAAGCTAGTTGCTTAATAAAACAACAAAATTATAATCCACAATCTTAGATGAAATCGAGAGTAATGTTTGACTGATCACTTTGGCGCCATTTCACTTTCGTTAAAGTATCGTGGCTTTTTTTGGCATTTACTTTGCCGAATTACTGAAAATTATCATCATTGTTGTACGTTGTACACTTATTATTATTCTGTGGTTGTACTTATAATATATTATTTCAGAACAGGGTTCTGTATTGTACCTAGTAATTAAATTTTTGTATTAGGGCTGATTTTTAAATCATCAGTTATCTTTTAACTGAAGAATAAACTTGTTATTTTCACATATTTCCCATACTGAAACTGCAATGTGACAAATTTATTCTTCAGTTATAAGTTATCCGACGATTGAAAAATCGGCCCTTAGTAGGTTTAATTACCAGAAGCCCTTATAAAGTAGTGAACAATTTTGTGTTTTGTGTTAGCAAGGAGCTTATGATATCTGTGCTACGAGTATTTATTTATTTATTTAGGTAGTCCTACATAGAATACCACTTATTTGGGAAAAAAACAGTATGTTATTTTTTCCAATATATTCGATCTTTATAAAAATCTGAAATTCCTGCTGCTTCGTAAGCAAGTTACGCACTTTTGCATTTAAATTATTACTACTATCCTACAAAATATAGAGTCGGTTTCTTCTCAGTACTGGCCATTTATTATCCCGAAGCAGTGGTAGGGTTAATACTGTGATGTGTAAAAATGTTTTTTAAAAGCCTACTTGCATTAATAAATGAGTTTTAAATTCCTGTTACTTAGCTGAAGTTTGCTTACTCCTAAAAATTACAAAAAAAGTAGGTACTCGTACTTTCTTTACGGATCTCTAAAAATTAGAAATTGTTTTCGTCTCGTTAAAAATGATTTAATGATCACATTTGGCAATGACTAAATTGCCATTAATCATCGTTAACGCGCCTATTTTCTAATCAGTATAATGTTGAGATAATGATGGTCATAATCATTGCATAATGTTACGTAAATGGAATTTCATTCATGGTTTTTATTAATGAAACGTGTGCAAAATTAATACTTAATTATACCATTACAAATGTAAAAGTTTCCTGATTTGTTAGTTAATTTTATGAAACATCATCATTTCAGCCACAGGATATCCACTGCTGAATATAGGCCAATTATTTCTAGGCCTTTTATAAAGAAAATAACTTCTTTACGATAATGAATCAGAAATGAGGACATCTGTAAACAAACTAAAAGCGCTGACATAGCCCGAAGGATTAGTAAGTTAAAGAGGCAATTTTGATTAAGTTTTGATCAGAGATATATTGAAAAGAAATAAAATCAGAGAAAAATCATGAAGTAGATAGATATTGCTCAATGAGACAAACTGAGAATTAAAACCCAACCTCTGAAAGGATCCAAATCTTTAACCATTCTGCGGTACAAAGTAAATTTCGTAAGCATATACGATACAATAATTATTATGACAAAGCTAATCTACGATTTGGGAGTCCTTTTTGGGCAGCGTTCGAGAGTGGACGTGCACAACACGTGCGCTCCAGACGGTCCGACCCGAAAAGACCCTTGCAACGTGCAAAGCCCTACCGCGTATAATACAAACGGTCGTAAACTCAGAGTGCATTTTAAGCCGTGGAACGTAAACCAACAAACAAAGTGATCAAAAATAACATAACTACAAATCAAATTAATTAAGATAATTCGTACAGTGCTGCAATCGTGATAATCAAGCGAAAACTAACCAAAATTAAATAATATGTAAAAATTAAATAATATAAAACAAATTCAATACAGTGTTACAATAGTGAGAATCCCACGAAAACAAATCAAAAATTCAATAATATACCTAATAGGTAACAGTGTTACAAGAGTGATAACCCAAATTTAAAACTAAAATCGCAAATAATCTGATAACTTTTATCAGAACTAGCATCCAGTGTTAAATTTAGTATTAAAAAAAATCGCAGCATATGTACTTATCATAATATAATTACATATTTTTACTGTATATTCAATCTTCTTCCAAAAAAAAAAAAAAATTAAACTAAATTAAATAAATTAATACATGGTATAGGGAAAAAAAATCCGCCAACACAGTGAGTGGGAAAAGCCTCCAGGTACCAGAGCAACACCTAAGTCAAAGGAGTACAAAATCAGCTAAATCGGCGAAGCCTGGTGAGATCTTTCCTTATTTTTCTATATTGACATAACTAATATCTACTGTGTTTACTCAAAAACTTATAATTAGGCGTCCGGATCGGGTTCTCATTTCTTCGTTGTTCACAGCATTACCATTTTTGTTGCAGTTATTGAGTGTGGACTTTGTCACTCGTTGCTGAGACTTATTTGGTTGGGTGGATTGTATTTCTGTGTTGCTATGAACTATGAATGCTGGTTTTAAGCGATCTATTGAGATCGTTTTAATGACGTCCGAAATCATTATTTTGAAGTATTTATCGCCATGTTCCATAACCTTGAATGGCCCAGTGTATGGTGGTGTTAGGGGCTTAGTTACGTGGTCGCAACGAACGAATACGTATTTGCAGGTTTTTAGCGCTGGATGCACGAACGTTTTCCCTTCTCGGGGTTGCTTTTGGGGAACTGCAGATAAGTTTCGAATGTGCTCTCTTAATTCATGTAAGAAAGCGTCTGTGTCAAGGTTAGGCTTTGTTGTTTCGAAAAAGTCGCCAGGTAATTTCAAAGTTGTTCCGTATACAAGTTCTGCAGCTGATATTTCTGTATCATCCCTTAGGCTAGCTCTTAATCCCAGTAGTACAGTCGGTAACTCGTTTACCCACTTTTCTGTATTTCCCCTAGACATAAGGGCTGATTTAAGCGTTCTGTGCCATCGTTCAATCTTGCCGTTAGCCTGAGGGTGGTAGGCTGTTGTGTGAATTTTAGTTATGCCCAATCGCTTAGTTAGGTTTGTGAATAGATGCGATTCAAACTGCCGACCTTGATCGGTGGTTATTCGCAGCGGGCAGCCGAATCTGACGATCCATGATGAGTAGACAGCTTCAGAGATGCTTTCTGCAGTGATGTCCTTTAAAGGTATAGCTTCTGGCCATCCCGTGGCTCTGTCAATCATGGTGAGTATGTATCTATACCCTTGACAGTAGGTAAGAGGTCCTACTATGTCGATGTGAAGATGGTGAAATCGATCGCTTGATGGAAATGAGCGTAACGGAGAAATTGTGTGTCGTTGAATTTTTGATTTTTGGCAATTTATGCATGTCCTTGCCCAATTGTTTACGTCTTTGTTCATACATTTCCAAAAATATCGACTTGTGATCATTTTTCGTGTTGATCGTACGCCTGGGTGACTAATTCCGTGAATTGTGTTGAAGACNACGACCCTGAATCCCTTGAGATTGGCACTATCTATTACAGTAGTTATAATATCGTAATTGTCAACTGTATTCAAGCTTACAAGACAAAAATAAATTGTGTCAATTGAGAGGGAGCTGTTTTATTTAATTTTTTTTAATTTCATACAAGGAACGGTACTTATATAAATTTCTGCAAGCCGGACAACCTATTTTCCACGTGCAGACAATTCACCATCGTCTCCGTCTGCAACCGGTGGCGGTTCAATTCCAGTCACCAAGCCGCCAGGGAAAAATCCTTTCTTGCAGTGGCGCCCATCTTTTGATGTTTATTATTGCCACATTTTTTTTATGAAGTTTATGGGTGGAAAGCCAATAAAAGAAGCAACAGTGTGTGCTGACTATCCGCTCATACACTTCTATTTTGTTGTTAAATATTTTTTTATTAGGGAATCTCTCATGTGTGTGCTGTTGTTTGTCTTGTTAATTTTTGTTGTTTTATTTTATTTGTGATGCCCACATATTTTTTTTCAAGTTGTCAACCTTATACATTATTATTATGTTAACCATTATAACAGAGCGTACTACTCTATATGAGGTTAGTTTACATGATGTTAGGTTACATATTTTTTTTGTGTTGCAACTCTTATTTTGTATATTATGTTGGGACAAGTAAGTAACATTTTTTTTTTGTTAGGTTATATTTATTTTATACCTACATTGNATAATATCGTAATTGTCAATTGTATTCAAGCTTACGAGACAAAATAAATTGTGTCAATTGAGAGGGAGCTGTTTTATTTACATTTTTTGATTTCATACAAGGAACGGTAACTTTTATAAATTTCTGCAAGCCGGACAACCTCATTTTTCACGTGCAGACAATTCACCATCTTCTCAGTCTGCACCGGTGGCGGTTCAATTCCAGTCACCAAGCCGCCAGGGAAAAAATCCTTTCTTGCAACTTGTTGATATTTTATTTTCATTATTTCTAGAGTAATTCTAGTTCTTCTAGAGTTGTCATTATGCGAAGTTGACCAAATGCGAATTTGTCATTGTGAGAAATAGACATTATGAGAAGTTGTCTTTTAGCGAAGTTGACATTTTAAAAAGTTGTCATTTCGAGAAGTGGACATTTTGCGCCCCGGTTGTCATTTTGAGAAGTTGTCATTCCGAGCTGAAACGGTGAATCGTGAATATGATGTGACAGAGCATACAAATCTGAAGTCTCGCTGACGTTTGACCGTCATAAAAACACGCTGGCCGTGCCGCTCCCATACCTCAGGCACTAACTCAGAGCTAAACTAAATTGAACATCGTTTTATTATTGTACTTTCTATAATACATTTATAAAGCACTTGATTCACAAAGTATTTTTGCAGAATCATAATGTAATCGTGTAATCATCGTAATCGTGAGAAATGAATGATATACTTAAATTATTTCTTAGAGCGCACACAAATTGAGATAACCTCTAGACACACAAATAAGGTGATCTTATTTGTAGAGACTTGGTGACAAGATACATTTAATATCTTAGGCAGCTTTTCAGTAAGTTGAAAAAAGTTAGTTCAAAGGTAAGTGAATCTATATCTATAAAAGCGAAAGGTCACTGACTCACTCACTCATCACGAAATCTCAGAAACTAAAAATGCTAGGAGTCTCAAATTTTGCATGGGAGTTTTTTTAGAACGTAGGTGCTCACAAGACGGGGTTTTGCAAAATTCAACCCCTAAGGAGGTAAAACGGGGTCCACGCGTACGAAGTATATTCACTTATGAAATAACTTTGCGTATAATTAGACCTATCATCGCCCCAATCCGTCCCCCGGACACGGCCTGAGCCGAGGTCCGAGCCTACCGTGGCGCCCTCAGGCCGGGTCCGTAGTCCCCTCGATCGGGCCCACTAGAGTGAGCCCGCCGTAGGCTGGACTTTGGTCCAACACCGAGGTGGGCAACCCTCTAGTTGGGTTCGCCACTGATCGGGCGCTTTATGCGCTCGATACGGCCCGATCGCGAACGATCGCCAAACGGCCTTCTGTACTCGCCACTCTGCCCGGTGAAGCTGGAAAAGCTCCTCAAGCAACTAGCGCGCGTCCCTTCAAAAAAAAAAACCTACCATCGCATAAACATGTGACATTGTTACAGCGCGTGGATTCGACCGCTTCCACGAATTTATTCTGGTTCTCTGGGTAGCTGAAAAACCGGTGGATCGTTTTGGACGACTCGTCAACTTTCTTCAACGGCATCGACTTCCGTTCTGAAAGGAGTAGTTTGTTACAACATTTCAGCATTTGTATAAACGAAATAATGAAGAATATTAAGATTATAAATAATTGTATTTTTGTAAGACATAAAAGGCAGTAGTAGGCTTAGGGCTAAATTTCAAAGAATCATTAGATTACAGTGCCATTAAAAAAATGAAATGATTAAATACTTTTTCGGTGACGAGGAACACTTGAAACAGTAAACTTACTTGAATTATAAAAGAAGGGAAATCTGGAAGGACCAAGATTAATTTGCTTGAATCTTGACTTGAAACTTTTCGCAGAAGTGCCTACTCCACCTACAGTTAAAAGCATTTTAATAAATCAGCTGTAGTAAGTAACAATGTAAAATTTGTACTTGTACAATTATTGTCTCTCGTTCTTGGGTATTAATTTCATCATTATATTCAACACGTGGAATTTAATAAAAACAACCCTTTCCTGAATTTGCAACCCATCAAAAGGGTTTATATAGCTTAAAAATACAAGTTACCCGTGTCAGTTTTCTTTGCAGATGTACATTGCTTGATGAATGCGCTAATACCGGCTGATTTTTGTTGCATTACATTGGTATGAGTCCCTAAAAACACAATTATTAGTCAAATATTTACATAAACAAAATATCGCAATTGGCTGTTTCGTTTCAGCCAAATGATGTCCACTGCTGGACAAAGGCCTCCAACAAGGATTTCCACAACGACCGGTCCTACGCTGTCGGCTTCCATCCAGGTGCTTTCCGCGACCTTCACCAGATCGTCGGTTCACCTAGTGGGATGCCTGCCCTGTCTTCTAGCCCGTGGTCGCCACTTGAGAACTTTTCTGGCCCAACCACCGTATTTTGTACTTTGATAATTTCTTATAATCGTGTTGTTCATCTACGTCATAAATAAAAGCCTGTGATGCTAATGTGGCAATAAATATTTCCATTTGTAACATTTGCATAAAGATATGTGGGATAACAAACAAGTTGTTTTGGACAGGTCTACCATAATAAATTGAGGTTGGTTTCCAATACTTCGAAAAGTAGGTTTTTATCTGGATCAGTGAAGGACTAAATATAATACGGCGGGATCTATGTCAATTGAACTTTCATAACTATTTTCATTGGGTACGGATTATTTAGTAAAGGTATTTATTTCCTTTTTTGCTTCTGGCTGTACTTAACACAAACTGATGCTGAATAAGACAAAAAATACCTAACCTATTCATAAAAATCCAAACTTGTGACACCCTTTTAATAATCACATTTTATAAATTAACGTTTTAATTTTTAAACCAATCATTTGAGCGCAGAGTGAGATGACTAATTTTTAAATTCTGACTTACCCGTTTCTCTGTACACAAGTGTCAGTGTCTGGACATCCACGTCCTCCCAGATGATAGAACTTTGAAGGTATTCGAGCATACGAACTGCAACACGACAAACAAACAATTTACAAAAGTATTTTAATCTTATCGATAAACATATCATCAAATGAGCTATATGCAGCACTAGAAAGTGAAAGGTCCTTACTCTAGAGTGGTACCACTCTAGTGCAATTACGATAGTTTTCCTACCGTTTCAGCGCATTGGCGTCAATGTCTCAGTCACTAGCGAGTGAGACAGGACCTTACTGTACAGCGGCGTCAACTGGTGACCATAAACATAGTAGCATTATTCAATTCTCTCTTCCTAAAATGCCCATCTGCCTTCTATTTTTCATACTCTACATACTTATTTCTAAGTTACTAGATGTTATGATCCATTTTCTTACACTTTCCAAGTTTCGAATGTGACTTGGACCTGTGGGCCCACCTGGCGGCGGTTTTTTTCCACACGTGGTTCCAGCGGTGCCTGCATATGCGAGTTATGGATAGGTGCTTGCGTAGAGTGTCGAAAGGTCTTGCAACTGTAAAATACAGCACACTTTTTATAAAAAGTTTGTAAAAATAGGTTTTTCTGAGAAAAATACAAAATATAGATTTGGGTACACAGGAAAAAAGGGGATTTACACGAGGCTTACACTTACTAAGGTAAGGCTTAGAAATAAAGCATAACTTGATGCAGTTTAATGAGGGCTATCGTTTTTATATTTAACAGTTGGCACCCTTGGCGATTGACAGGACCTTACTCTAGTCTACAGTGGCGCCATCTTGATAAGTGCAAATGCGATAGTCCTCCTACCACTTTAGCGCCCACCAGTTGGTGCCACTGTCTTCGCTACTAGCAAGTGACAGGACCTTACTCTACAGTGGCGCAAACTGGTGAGCGCTAAAACGATAGCCCTCATTGGGTTATGGTACCCAATCAACCAATAGGTAGAAATATTTTTATGACCTGTCAAAACGCACCAATCTCATTTATTTTGTAATATTAGCTATTTTGTGTTATGACATGACACATTTCTGCAAACTAAGTTATCTATTTTATCTTGAAATGATTGGCTATATTGGTGTCAACTACCCAATAGTCTGTCACTATCCTTCAGTATTCGGTTCACTAATAACAGGGTCATGACCTATGGCATTGTGGGTCACGACGTAAGATGAGTGAGGTCCGATTGTGATTGGCATTACATTTGCGATGATGGAAGGAATTTGTAGCATTACAATAATTCTCTTTTTTGTAAGGTGAGTTCACCTAAAGATTCTATTCATGCCTTGCCAATCTCACAATTTTATTTATTTGGGTAAAATGTTACAGAAAAATAAATGTTATATCAATACGAATGAACATGAAATTCGAAACATTTTATAAGCATCCTGAACAATATTAATAGGAAATTGTAATTGATAAATGTAATGTTCTGTTCTAATAGGATTTTCTTACTTAATGAGGAAGAAAATTTTCTGTCCAGAGGTCACAACCCTGGTATTAGGGGAAAAAATTAATCAAAAATGTTACTTGATTCTACCCTTTGTGAGAGGCTTACTTTTGTATCTATAGCTGGGGAACCGCCGGTATCTGGAGTGCTTCTTGCAGTACTTCCTGACGTCACCGTGGAGGGTCAGCGAGTTTCTCCTCCCGCAGAGGCGGCAGTACTTAAGTTTTTCACGGTGGATTTTACTATCTGTTGGAAACGTTTTTATATACTGAAATTACGTTTTTAAAACTATAAAATCCTTTATAAACGGTCATTTGATTTGATAACAATTCCACCTTCGGCCTGATTTTTTTTACTTTCTGTCAGGTGAGATGCAGGCCAAGGTAGCCAATGTAAAAAAAAATGTTTGACGTTAATGAACCTAAATAGCTCTACCTATTCTGATCAGTGGTCATAACCCTAGAGTCAGATTTACCTGAATCAACAACTGAAGCCTTCACTTCGCTCTTATCCCCGCGACAGCCACAGAAGGAGTTCTGCAAGGCAGTGTTTTCAGACTCCTCGGACTTGATAAAGGTCATGCAGCTCTGCGACCTACAGGCAGGACACCAGGCGGTGGTGGCCTGGTCTTCGAGGTTGCAGTCGTCAACGTTCTCCAAGGTGTACTGGCTTGAGTAGTCGTCATGAATTTCTAAGTCAGTGCAAGCGAGGCTGCTAAGGGTTTTTGGGGATTCGATGCCTGTAAAAATATTGACTTAAGTCATATTAAAAATGTACGAAATTAACTTACTCGCTGATAGTTTTAGAGCGCTTTCACATATTTTAGGCGACTTTAGCAGCGCGACAAACGCGCGACAGAAGCGCGCAGATAATTTCATACTATATGACAGCGGATGCCAGCCTTCACATTATAAAAATGCTGCTGCCGCGTTGCTGTCGCGCTTCTTACGCCCTAATGTGAGGGCGGCCTTAGTTTTTTTCTAAACTTGTTCGGAACTCAAAAATTCAATACTAGTTTTTTTGTTACCATCTCCTTCAAAGTTAGTCGTTTTTTGCAGAATCTCGGACGGACATTCCACGTACGAAGGAGCAAAGGCTTGCTTTTCATCTTTTGAGTCTGCCACTGTCATCGACGGAAATTGAAGGTTCTTGCTGAATTCTAGAAAATATATTTTGGGATTCAAACAGAATAAGGAACATGTCTCTTATTGCTTACGCATTAGGACATTAATTGTAATGAAAAAGTATCATTATTCAAATTAAAATAGACAAGCAACTTAATTTAGTGAAATATCTGGTGGTAAAGTTAATTTGGAACCACTAGTCAGAACCAGCTGATATTATGTTGTCCCGAAGTGATGATACGGTTAAGCTATATTTAGAATGTCTAAAAATGCTCCAAAAAGGGCATACAAAATAAGCTAAATAACAAAAAATAAGTACGTCAATTGACTTCAGTGTCTACTATTGATAGTATATGTTTTTAACCGACTTCAAAAAAAGAAAGTCGGTTCCATGCTCCACTTTTTATTGATATCTATTTTCGTTCGATAAAAAATCTGAGAACCTTACCAGATCTGCATATAACAATCGGTCCTAAGCCCTTGTCGACCTTGTTGACACTCCGGCCCGCGAAAACGGACCCCGGCTCGTCTTCGTCGTGTAATCTCGAGATGACCACGGTCGGCTGCTCCACTAAAGGCATGTCCTTTACTGTAATAAATAACACTATTTAATGGCTAAGGAAAGAAAAATACTTAGAGCTTTGCTGAAGAATTCCTTTGGGTTAAGAGCCAAATATTCGTTTAGATACTTTCCTGCTGAACAGGCCAATAGGATAAACTCCATGTATTTCGTGGAGTGATTTTGTATCTTAAATTATTATCCAGCTATTAAAATTATTTCAAATGTTTGAAAAAGTGTTACATTTAAATTAGATTCGTGAAAGAAAACCGAGAAAAAACAATTGCGAATCGCGATTGCAATAGGTCGAGGAAAAGAAAAAGAAAAATGTTTCTAAGTGGCCAGTTGTACATCCATGGAGTTTGGACGTATGCAGCCTTAGCAACACATTATAAATGATAATTTTGTCATTTGTTTCGTGCAATAAACATTAACGTTTTTAAAAACTGACACTTCATTATGTCGCGTTTATTTTGAATATAAATAATTCATCAACCGTACAAAGGTTAGACTGATGTAGTACCTAAATAATCTATTTCCTCATATTTCCCCAGGGCTCCAAATAAACTATCTTTTCATACAGACCTGCCGTATCGCTTGGCTCAAAGGCGGCGTTTTCAAAAGGCTCCCCAATGTTGTTTTCGTTGCTCGCTTCCCTCTCACTGGGTTCTGTATACTCGCTGGTTTTGGCCAAACCTAAACAATAATTTTCATTGGACTGTTTCACATTTTCGTCGGATTTAGATTCAATATTAATCGCTCCGCGGCTGTGTGGGCTCATTGAGCGATAGCCTGGAATAACAAACAAACGGGCAGTTGAAATGAAACGAGTTGTCCAGATTGAGGGAGTTTGTGGTTTTTATTAATTGATCAACGCTTTTGTTGAGGGGAACACAACTTTGGAAACCGCGAAAGTGGATTTTATTGTTATTACTTTGATGAAATATTTTAATTTGCATATAAAATAAGTAGTTATTTAATTTAAAATTTAATTCAGTCAATTTATAGCCACTTTATATTACTAGCGGAAGTAACTACAGCTGACCAATAGTTATTATTGCTCAGTAATTTTTGTGACGAAAAAAATAAGTGCCAAAATACTAATTTAAATCTTTAAATCATTTTTCAAAATTACACTTTGCATGCTTACGGTTTTGGGAGTCCGAAACCGATGAAACGTAACACAACAACAATACAATCTTAAAATTTCTACTTTAAAAGTTCTAGAAAAGTTCTAACCAGATTCATTGTCTTTATTGGGGTACTCAAGTTCGCTTGAGAGCCAGTTGCTGATGTTGTCATTCGTCGTTTTGTAAACGTTGGCGCCAAACACCACTTTGGGTTTTACGGTTTCACCAAAACACGGCTTGTTGATTTCTGAAAGGTTAAGAAATCAAAGTCAAATATTGCAAAGGAGATAATAAGTAGGTAACTTGAGTTTCAATCAAGAAAGCTAAAATTTATATTGATTTAAATTTTATTGTAAGAGTCGAGTAGTTCAAAATATGGGTCAATGTAAATGACCATACAATTATAAACACAACAGTAGCTTAGTTAAACAAAAATATTTACCGTTTTAGGTCTGTTAATAGAACGTGTAAGACTTTTATTTACCATGATAGTAGTTAAATTCTGGTAAAGTGGTGTCCTACATAATGCTAATTACCAATTTCCATTCCCAATCATTCAACAGCCGGTCTGATTAATTAGTCATACCAATCAATCACTAGGTTATTAAGTACTTACCGACATTAATTACACTTTGAGCAGTATCAGCGCTGTCAGTCGACGATCGCTGTGTATTCCTCGGATTGGACTCCAATGAATTCACTGGAGTGTCTAATTCCATGAACCAATCTGGAATCATTGAATTGTTGTCCGTTTAGATTGATCAGAAATTCAAGTAATTGGCGAATAAATTGTTGATCCTAACCGTAAAATCTATCTCCATCTATGATGATATTGTTGCGTCTGTAAATCTGGCCTAGGGTCGGAATCGGTCTTGATGTTGTAGGTATGTGGTCATCTTGGTGGAAGTCTATAATAGAAATAATAGGTTGATAGATTAGTAATTATACGTATTCCCGAGGTATGGGAGCGGCACGAGAGGGATGACATTGATAAAATAAGTGACAGAGCATACAAATCTGAAGTATCGCTGACGTTTGACCGTTACAAAACACCATCCCGTACCGCTCTCACATTTCAGGCATTGACTCGGTTGAGCGCTAGACGAAAAAGCGATGATTTTAAGTAATGTAAATTTTAGGACCACAACTTATTTAACTTGCGCCAAAAAGTTTTCACCGGGGCTGGAAATGACTTTTGTTCATATTGCAAAAAATATTTTACCCGGAATATTAGGCACTTGAAGTCTCTGTATTCTTGGAGAGTCGCTTCCAAAGTAGCTGCTGTCTGGTCTGCTTGTATTGTGTTTTGGGGTTGGGCTCACTGAGCCAGTTTTACGCCTGGGTATGTGACTGGGCTTCGTCTTCTCTGGTTCACTCCCTATAAATTAACATGTTTTCTAAATAACGGTACTTTAGAAAATATAAAAATATTTAAAAGTAATAGTTTCTTCGATAAGGGAATAGAGTAATAGAGTATCAGAAATGCTTTCAGAACACTGGAAACTGGTTTTCAACTCACGAAACGTATAATATTCATTTATTTATTTTATTTTGTTCGAAAAACATACAGAGAAACAATAACAGACCAATAAACAAGAAACTATACACCATTTACATTATGCTATAGATTAAAATCTATGCGAACGATTTCGCGGCCAGAAGCTCGTCAAAAGTAAAAAGTACCATATAAAGTTTTTTGTGACTTACGTGGACTAGGTCTCCTCGTTCTTTGTGGCAAATGTTTTGGTTTGCTAGGCCCTGCTATAGTGTCTCCTTTAAAAATTAAATAATTACCAGATTTAATGCACGCAAACGTTTACAAAGAGAGCTTTCTTGGATGAAATGCGACGATTACCGGAATTGTCCAAATGTACAAAAGGTTTAGCAGCATTTTTGTCAACGTTTGAGTACAATGGGGCTTTTTTCACTCTCGGCAATTTGCTAACGCTTCGTTTCTTTTCGTGGTCAACGGTGTTTGATACAAAGGCTGAAAAAAACACGATTTTCATCATACTTTATCAATTCGGCTTTTCAGTCTTATAAATAACGAAATATCTTGAAAGTACTACAATGTTTCAAATATACCATTGTTTAGTTTGTCTTTAGAATTGACGCGATGTAATTTTAGTCGGTGACCGTATGCAACTATTAATTCAACTGGCCCATTCATTCCAGTTGCTCCAGGAGTCTTATCACTTGCAAGATCCATGAATTCTGAAAACCTAAAAAGACACGAGTGAAACAATTTATATTAATCCCAACTAATCCCAACTAATATTATAAATGCGAAAGTAACTCTGTCTGTCTGTCTGTCTGTCTGTCTGTCTGTCTGTCTGTCTGTCTGTCTGTTACGCTTTCCCGCTTAAACCTCGCAACCGATTTTGATGAAATTTGGCATAGAGATAGTTTGAGTCCCGGGAAAGAACATAGGATAGTTTTTATCCCGGTTTTTGAAACAGGGACGCGCGCGATAAAGTTTTTCTGTGACAGACAAAATTCCACGCGGGCGAAGCCGCGGGCGGAAAGCTAGTCTCCAAATAATATTTAGTGTTTCATTACTTACTCAAAACAATGGTAATAACTGGTAGATTTGACTTAACAATTTAGTCCTAAAATCTGTAAAGTTGAATCTTGCAGAGAGCACACCACTTTTTAAACAGAATTCAGATTACCAACTTCACATACTCGACATTTGTCACACCTTCACAGCTTAGGTTTTACATTAAGAATAACAAGATAAATATTTTTTTGCTTATTTAATTTTTACATTTAATTTTACTAAAAGCCTAAAACGTATTGTTTTCCATTTTGACATGTCAATTTGTCACAGTTTGAAATGTCAACCATGATGTTGTATTCTTGTAAAATCTGCCAGTGTTTTATTCTTCTTCCATTGCCTCTGGTTGGTCATCGATTTGCACTGGTTTCTCGACTCGGAGAGAAGCTTTTCTTTCTGCTTGAATTTCTTCTAACTTCTTGATGAGATCTTCTTGAACACTGTCTACTATTTCCTTGAGATTTTTAGCTGAAAAAGAATAGCATGTGAACCTTTATCTCGATAACTTTAAATAAACTTTTGAGTATTGAGGTATCTTACCAGTTTTCTGATTGAACTCTTCAGCAATCAAGGAAATCTTTTTTAGAGTTCCAACATACTTCGTAATCTCATTTGCTACATCGTGGTCGCCCCCTGTATTTACAGCTGCGTCTTCAGTAGGAACTCTTCTCCTTGCAGCTACTTTCAGCACATCACTACTAACGACCGGCATTTTCGGCATCTTGAAGGCTGGTTTATGGTGTTCTTCTGATACTGGTACTGGTTCACTAGCAGCGGCAGTAGTGGCATTGGCAACAGGAGCGGGAATGTCTAGTACATCATTCGGTAAAAGTTCAGGTGCAAATGTTTGCAATGTTTCAATTTTCATAGGCGACTCCTTCTTTTGTGGCGATTTTTTTGAGAATTTTATAGGCAAAGCATTTGTGATGCTGTCTATTATGGTTTCTGAAATAAGATTATCGCAGTAAAAGCTTTTGTATTTGTTAATAACCTACATTATTTTATCTCATCTCATCATAGCTTCGTTGCTGAAACAGAACATTCGTAAAACACTTACGCACTATATTTTTCGGTGATTCGGCTTCTTGCTTCTTTTTAGAAGCCAATTTTCTCGTGAGTTCTGCCAGAAACATCGAGCACGTTGGTCCTAAAACAATAACATTTCACTCGCAAATGGTTTTATTTACATTTTGTTCACGTGATTCTGTAGTGTTATTATAAGGTTTAATAATATTACCATCACTTTTACGTTTCTTTGTCGTCTTCGGCTTGGTAGCAGGCTTTTTATTTTTTGCTTTGTAACGAGCAGGTTTTTCCATACCTGTGAAAATGTGGATGTTGTATTATTATGTTTATATTTTAATAAATAAATTACATCTTCTGACAACAAATTATTTATTTTAGCTATAGTGCCTCTAAATGAATCTAAATAACAAAATTAATGGTGTTCTTATGGCTTCAAAATGTACTATTACCACTTGCGCTAAGTTATTACTTACACATTATTGCTATTGCTTTCGATAGGACCTTATCCGTGAATAAATAGAAATAGTAACAGAATAACTTATTTACAGAAATGATTGAAATTACCTTAGAAATATCTTATTACAAAGTAACTTATTCTCATCTTGAGGAAATAAATATTACCAACTTTTGGCAATAACTAAAAATAAATCGGTGCTCACAAATAGAAACGCCGGACGTCCCACGCGTGGGACTTCCGAAAATAAAGGGAAAATTTACTAAAAAATCCCGAACTAAAAATTTCACCAAAAAATTGACACTGACAAATTTACTTTTATTTTTTAATTATTTATCTGTGAAATATTACCAAACTTTTTGTCTATTAAAAAGGTCATCAACCAAAAAGTTTATATAAGTTCATGCACATTGCACACTCCTATCATAAGAATAATAACGTTAACTTAACCGACCTTTTTATTTCAAACCTTAGCATTTTATGTAGAGGAGGAAAATAAAGAAGGGAGGGTCCTAGTATTAACTAGTAGAGCAATCTCTATAGATTAATTTGTTGGAACAACGTTGGATAATAAATGAAAATCTTTTAATTGTATTAAACTGGTTTATTGAAAGTTAAGTGTATGTAAAGTAAAGTTAGTTTATCACTGTAGATGCGGGTCTGGTTGGTTGATCAGTGTTTTCATTTCGGATTTGCTGTAGGTTTCTGAAAAAAAAAAATGTTTTATTAATAAGTAAGTAGTACTTATTCGTAACAAACTTTATGCATCTTTAGGTTACTGTCAAAATTCCTCAAAAAGTTTCAGTGGGTCTAGACAAAGTGCAAATTATAATCGCAAACCAGTCGCAAAGTGGTCGAAAAGCCCCTTTTTTGTATGGAGTTTTGACCGATTCGATTTTCGATTCGATCAAAAAGTGCGTTTTGTCTAGGGGGGCAGATATAGTTAAAAAATACTGAACTGTCCTATGCATGACATTGACAGTGGGGCGCCACCGTCAATACCGGATCGCTGGTTCCGATTTTTGTCATGTTGGAAACCATATAGTTGAACGATGGTAGCGCCCCCCTGTCATTGAGTTTGGTGGGACAGTTCAGCGTGGGTCATCTATATCTGAATGACGTCATAATTTGTAAACAGATAAGTCCCTTGTTTTTTTATCAGCAAGTGGTGGAAAATTACCATAGCTGGGCATTAACTCGTTAATCCGTTAATCGTTAATTAACGAAGTTAACATTTCTATTAACGGATTAACTTTTAAGTTAACTTTAAAAAATGTTAACGGACTCGTTAACTTCCGTTAAATTATCCTAAGTCCGTTAATCGTTAATCCAGTACCTACTATTTACCAAAAAGATACAGCAGACACGCTGAAAAACGTTAGAAAAACGCGTTCTGACAAGTACGTTCGGGCTTCCAGAACTTCCAGAAGCCAAAACAACAGTTTTTGTAACCAGATCACTAACGACACTTGTTAGTATGTGTAGGACAACTCTTGCAACTGAATTTAAGACCAGTTTTCCTGACCCTATTGAGCTGTTTGTTATACCAGGCCTGTTCATCTCCGCGAGTTTACATCGAAAACAAAACACGCACGATGGCCCACCTACAGGACACTATTCGACAAGGCCTCACATACGAGCGAAAATTGACTCACTCACGCGTATTCTTGGATATGATGGAAGAAAATAAAGAAAATGGTGTACTAAATACTGTGCAGTATTTAACTGCCTAAATAATAATAAAAACACAGAATGTACTTTTTTAAGTTGCCTCAAGACACTGAGAGGTAAATAAGTAGTTAATATTATTCATGATAATTCATGCTAAATCATGTAAATCATTTCCTCCGCCATTTTCCGCAGTTTGGCACCTCACGTCACATCATTTTACCGAAGTCAGCCCTATAGCTTCGGCGCAGTGCCGATCACTGACGTTTGTCAACAAAATGGTGCTTGACTCTTGAGACAGGCTAAATTACACCATATTGTTAATGACATTGAGCATTTTTTTTTAAATACCTTCGCGAAGTAAAACTTCTGTACGTAGTACTTATTATTATTCTGTGGTTATACTTATGTAAGTACGATGACAATGCAATGTTATGTTACCATTGAGCTGGTCTAATGATGGAGTCATGAGGTGGCCAAAGGAACTCCGAAATGAAACAGAAGCATTGCTTCGAATTTGGGTTCGTTGGATTTGTCTTTTCGAGCACTTTAGTGCTAGATGATGTCCAGGGTCCTGATGATGGAGTCAGGAGGTGGCCATAGGAATTCCTAAACGGTGGAAACTTATCGAGTTTGGGTTTGCTGGATTTGTCCACTTTCGTGCTAAATTGTATTGTAATTAAACCAAGATTGAGATAATACCTACTGAAAAGTGTAAAATAAAATTATAATTAAAAAACTTTTTTAAAAACAAGCTTTTATTCTGAAATGCAATTGTACTAAAACGAAAAAAATAATTTTACTTATGCAAGGTTCAAATAATTTCGAAAGCTTGTAGCACAAACATAAAAAAGAGGAATAAATTCCATGCGCGATACAAGCTTTCGAAATTATTTGAACCTTACATACAATTATTTTTGTCGTTTTATTATCATGTGTTAACGGATTAACGATTAACGTTAACTTCCGTTAAATCTTGCTAAATGTAACGTTTTAACGTTTAACGAAGTTAATTTTTTTATTAACGGTTTAACGATTAACGAAGTTAACTATTTGATTAACGGTGCCCAGCTATGAAAATTACCTGTGTATCGCAATATGCTATACTGTCATAATCTGTAATCTACGGCACTAAAAAATATTTCTAGCAGTCTCGCTCCATCCAAGCATAACCTTTTTTTAATATAAAAGTTTATAAATATAATATAAAAGTTTATAAAATGTATATGAATTAAGATTACGAGAACAGTCTCTCACCGTGACAGTAGTGGATGGTTCCCGCCTCGACGCCGAGCCCTGTGTCTGCTGGACGTTGGTCTGCTCCTGAGTCAGCTTGGGCGTGGGCCCGTGCTCCGACCTGGCCTGCACCAGCCCCGCCGCCGCCACTGGGTTGGCTGCCGCTTGGTTCTCTGCAGAGAAAGTTGTGATCATTATCCAGTGGCAGGCTCAGGCCTGAAATATCCGTTTTCCGAAAAAGTATTTTTCGCAAAATGTCTGCTATTCAGAATATGAGCACGTCTCTTGCTTAATGTCAGCTTCTCAAAATGTCAACTATTTAAAATTGTCTGTCTCCAAGAATGAGTTTTTGTACAATGTTCGCTTTCAGATTATAGAAATTATAGAAATGTAAACATTATGAATAGAAGACCATCTAAGACTACACACATTTTAAATTGAAGACATTTCGATAAAGCTGACAAAATAGGAATGCAAACATGATGAGTACGTAAACTTTTTAAGAATTGTACATGTTAGAGAAATAGATATTAAATTTTAGGACTGAGCCAAGTGGCGACCACAGACCGGAACACCTATTACGACTATAGCTTTATGTATTGTTGTGTGTACTAGGACAGTGCATCATGCCATGGATTGCAGCACCTTATGATGTGCTTGGACAGCGTATAATGGGAATGTTCTCGTCATATCTTGAGTTTGTAATTCATATTGAATCAATTTAGGTAAAGGTTTGTAATAAGAATTTAGAGGCACGTGTAACAGTTAATATGACCTAGAATGTGTAATATAAAAATTGTAGAGACATCGCGAATATGCTTCAGGTATTAGGTATTTCATTATTTACCAAAATGTTTTTATTGAAGTTATGTCACAATACCGAGATAAATTAGAATGCGAATATTTGAAATTGGCAAAACTTTGTTGGTTTCTATACTACGGAAAATAAAAAATCATGGTTACCGATTCGAATAATATTCCCAAACGATAGACACGTGCCGCAGACAATAACGCGATTACTTGCCGCAGATATTCATTTCGCTGGAGATATTTTTGATCCACCATTTTTAAATCAATGATTCCTTTCAATCCCATGAATGTAACCAATATATTTTATTATTAAGGTCTGTTTTTTTTCATCTCACTGAATTCTCACGTCTCGGTGAGTTTATCGAGGTTATATTTATAGGAGGAACCGAATATTGGTTTACTTTGATCTAAATATTGTGTTTACTAACCAAAATATGATTTTGGTTCATTTGTTCCAAATAAGTCTCGGAAATGTGAGACAGCAAAGGTGCTTTTAATAAAAAGATAGGTAAAAATATACCTGTCAAGCCATGGTAGCTCTCATGGGCGTCGTAGAATTCTTCTCTGCTGTGCTCTTCTAGACCAGTAGGAGGCACGGAACTTTCGGACACGCTGCTTGACGTGTCGCTGGCAGCTCCTTGGTTGGCCCCAGGCTGTCCCTTCTTCTTTCTGTGCTTCTTCACCTTGGTTTCGGGAGCCGGGTTCTCCGCTGCCGGGTCATCCTTCACCAGGTCGTGGAGCTCTAGCACGAACGGCTGGTGCGTCTCGAACACCCCTGTATTAGATGACGACGATGAATCTTCGGAATCGGTTAAACCGAGAAGGTCTTCGATAACCCCATCTATAAAACGTTGAAGAAAAATTGCATTTTCCATATAGGCGCATGCACTTCTTCTTGCGTATTCTTTGACCGCGAGCTCCGAGAGAAGAATTAGGATGACCGTTAGTATGGTGGTCATGGTGAAAGATTCTAGAGTTTCGCGCGGGAATTCTGTCTTCTTTGGTGTAGCGGGTGTGGCTAATAAGAGATAATTTAAGGTTTCAACGAGGTTTTGTCTGCTGCGTCCCAGGCGGGATCTGCAACATGTCTCGTCACGCTCTAAGCGCCCTTCTACTACCTACCTTGACATATAAATGCTATTCATAATTTTTAGTGCCGTTTTACTTCATATTTTCAGAGAGCTCAAAGTTTTACATGATGCAGAATGTCGCATGTCCTCGCAAGAGACAAAACAAATGATCCAATTCTGATAGTAATTTGAGAAATAAAGTTAATTTTACTTACATTTATTTGGCTTACGGTTTTCCATCCTTGAAGTTTATATTTAGTTTATTTCTTAAAAAACAAATATAATTAACACAGTATGTTCACGTGGCCATGTTAAAACTATTTACCATTGAAAACAATGGTTATTGTTAATTATGAAACATTTTTGAAGATTTTAATTTGCTGCCGGCAGTTGCTTCGTCGAATTTTTACTTTGAAGTCTCTTTTGACGTTTATTTGAGTTTGGAACTAGAAAAATAAAGGAAAAAACAAATTATTTGCAATAAGGTTTTATATCAGAAAACTAAACATTCAAAACTTTTTGTTTTAATCTGAGATAATTTTTCAATAGGTTTATGAATAGGTTTACAAGTTGGATTCTCATCATATTAAACGATGGAAGGTTTCCTGTCCCATATAAATCCCAAGTAAAAACCCATTATATTTTCTTAACAAAGTAGAAGATAAACTTTAATGGCTAGTCCGTATATTTGCTTTGGTGAGTACCTACTTGGTGAAAGGGGGCGGAAATGATCGGTAAGGATATCTGTGGATCCACTACGGGTCATTTTTATGACCTCCATAAATCGTGGACGACACGCCGACTGTTCTGTTACTTACTTGAGTGAAGTGGTAGATCTACAGATAAACGAGATAAAGAGAATGTGGTTTCTTTATGGATTTTCATAATACGATTTTGATCTTAGATCTTTTCTATTTTGAGGGCAACTCAAAATAGAGTTTTCTAACAACTTTGAAGATTACCTACTGCCAAAGACACAAACTGTCGAGTTTCTTCTCTAGTACGAATGTGATGAATATAAAATATTATTATGTAGAAGACATAAATGTATCTTAGGTATTAATTAGTAAACCTGTAACCGCTGGCATTGTATTCTGAACTGTGGTGCAGAAGTGAAAACTACTATTCTTGCAAACTTTACAGATTTAACAGCATAATATTTGTATAAACTTTGCTTAACAGCAGCCTTAAAAGTATCTTCGATATGAAGAGTGGTAAAAGAAAAACATTTATCAACTAATTTCCCCACAAACTTCTGGAGGGAATCTTCACAAAACGTGTCCTAACTGAGCGTAACACAATGTTAAATTGAATCCGGAAACTTTATCCTGGATTTGGTAACAATCTTATTTGGAACAGAGTAAGTTTGGGGTTTACTTATACAATAATGGTTTGTTGTAACTTCGACACTAGGAATACTGGTAGGTAATAGGTATGTGACTTGAAGTGAATAATAGCAAAAAGTCGCAAAAAAACGAGACAGTTTAAAAATAATACGATTTTTCACACAGACTATACATTTAAATTATGGGTATGTATAAATTTTAGTTAATGAACATTATCGTTTTTACGACGAGATTATGGTTTACGAACTTCAACTACACGAAAATTCTTGTGTCGTTTAGTTTTAAAAAAAAAAGCGAATATTAAGTCTCATTGAAATACCTTTCATAAATTCAAATACTTTATTAAGTGTGCTGGCAGAGCTGGAAACTATAATAAAGCTATCCAACTTTGCAGACTGTAAGCCCCGTTTTCCACCAAAGCGGAGCGGAGCAGAGAAGTGTGTTGAATAACCAATCAGATTTCATTTTTTCCACTTCTCTTCTGCGCACTGCACCGCCGCTGTCAAATTCTACAGAGTGTTGATTTCAATCCTCGCCATATTTAGGGAGTTGATTTTTAACTTATTCTGATCACGAATCAATAAAAAAATTGACAGTAGGCTACCCGACATGTTTTGCGAGCGATCCCCGTAGCTCGATGGTGCCGCAGTACAGTTGATGTCGCACGGAAAATATTCGCTAAAAATTCCACATTTTTTGGTGGATAATGCGTTTATTTAAGTCATAATAGATCACCTAAATAAATATGGCGAGGGTTGAAATCATCACCTTGTAGGTATAGTAAAATTTGACGGTCCGACACATCGACGCTCCGCTCCGCTTTGGTGAAACTGGGCCTAAGGCTGCGGACACAAGAATGCGTTAACAGTCTGAAGGAGCTTTAAAATTCCAATTTACATACTAATTAACTTAAACATTAATATTGCAAAGCGGTCAGGCGCGTTGTCATGAAGCCGTAGACGGTAGCTTTACTAAATACTAATAGACTCGCTTTGTAAAATGAATATTTATAGTCAAAACCTTCTGTTTATGACAGTTGTTGCCTAGTCATAAAAAATCTGCTTTCTTTATTTTCTTTCTACTATCGTGGCTCCTTGGTCTGGTTCACACCTTAATGGTCTTTGCTAATTAGTATGAATTCTAAGTAACTATGTAAAAAAACATTTTGAAAATCGGTCCACAATTGACGGAGTAATCGGTGAACATACATAGAAAAGAAATACATACAACCGAACATATAACCTCCTCCTTTTTTGAAGTAGGTTGAATATGAAACTGCATTTCACATCATCGGACACGCCCTAAGTTTTATGTGATAACACCAGTAAAAATTTACCAGGAGCTTGGATTTATGTCAATGTTAAGTTATTAAATTGCGGGAAATCGCGAAACTGTCTAGATAGATGCAATGCGAACTGCGGTGTGTGGTGTGGCCATGATATTGCAAAAAGAATAGGTAGGTATTTTGATTTCGAATAGGTACTTAAATGAAGGTTCACTTTCTGTAACACTAATAATTAAATTTAAACTTAATTAAGTATAAAATGTAATTAGTTTCCTTCAAATTGAAACAGGTGCTTAAGTCGATAAATCTTAAAAGGACCTTGAACTAAGGCTACAAGTAGTTGATAATGTTTACCTTTTTCGAAAAATTTTGACAAGGGTAACTACTTAATGAGTTTTAATCAAATGCAGACTGGCAATTAAAATCGCAGAAATATGACGATTTGCAATGAATTGTTTTTACATTTCTTCAATAGTCGGTAAAATCTTCTGTAATTTTCTCACAAGTGCTGACTCGCGTCGAGGTACAATCGGCAAAAGTCGTACTGAATTTTGATATGAAATTCAGATAGCGCTAGATGTGCAAACACTACATTGCGTAGTTTGTGTTATACAAAGGACTATACGCAAAATAACGAAACGTACAGACGCAGTACACGATAGTGGCACTTAGATATTAGCATACAAACGCGGCCAATATCACGCGTCGCTGTCGCGTTAGGTAGTATACCAACTCGCTGGTATAGTTGCGGCCAAAAGTGTATTTTTATTTACATTAAATAATTTTGGTCTTCACCTTCTTCGATAAAAAATTTGGATACTTTTAATGGATTATTACAGCTACCTGTGACGTCATTAAGTCAATTGTAAGCATACTTAGTTCTTGTTTTAGACTTCACACGATGAAAGAAATTAGTTTCTTAAAGATTTACTATCAATTTTCTTTAAAAGGCATCCATGACCTCAGATATAATATGATTCTGCTCAAAAAATCCGCAATCCCAACAAACTATCTTCCTGGAATAAAAACTAATCCAGAGGGACATGATTGCTTTTATTCCACGAACCGCAATAATTAAAGTCCTGCTGCAAAAAGTTCGCACGCGTGCGAATATTGAACTGTTAACAGCGATGGTACCGCGGTCAAAGGCTAAAAGCAAATATTTACGTAGCACTTTTGGTGGTGACTGTACAACCCAATAAGGCAATAATCGAAGTCATTCGTGTAAAGTGGGTCCAAGGAATGAATTTTATTAAGTGGGTAAAGGAAGTAGTCGAGTGTTTTTGGGTATTTGCTAAAAATATTCATATATTGAGAATCAAACTTGCAACTGTTAGGTAAAAATAAGTAAAACTATAGCTAAATAAGAAACTTACTTAGGTAATGTTCTCATTTAGTGTACCTAAAATTACTTAGGCCCGGTTTTTTGATTCGTAGTTAAAATAACCAATGGTCAAATTTGACAGATGTCAAATGACAAGTGGTTAAATATCAGAAAAAAATGTTATTCGAACAATGGTTAGCTTGACTTGTAGTACATTTTTTAAATAATTGTTTACATTTTGTTAATATTTAACCATTAGTAACAAAATATAACAATTTGTTAAATTTTTCTACTTATGGTTAAATGTTAACGAAATGTTAACTAATAGTTAAAAAAAATGTACTAAAAGTCAAGCTAACCATAGTTCGAAAAACATTTTTTTCTGTAATTTAACCACTTGTCATTTGACATCAGACAAATTTGACTATTGGTTATTTTAACTACGAATCAAAAAACCGGGCCTTAGACTCAATTGATTCTTTAGTTAGGGCCCTAGATCCTGTTGTAAGTATAGGCCTAATTTAGTTCATCCGAAAATATACAACTTTACGTTACACATAATAGAATTAATAAGCACTTCTGATCCTCTCAATAGATTGTGTTCAACGAGCTGTATCTCCATACAATATCGGGTTATTACAATCCAGATGGCAATATCGAAAGTAATTCTGTACGTATCGCGACTAGCCGACCAGTCATGATTTATTGAGGCCCACCGCGTTTCTTCATATTTTTCTTATCAGATATTTATTGTTGCGATTACTTCTTTGGGTTCCTTGAACCAATAAGATCGTTGCGTGGTGTAGACACTAGTATATTTGTCTGAATTTTGATCAGAGAATAAAGTTTTTGATAAGTCTTTGAGAAGTTATTCCATTTAAATAAATAAATTGTGTGACTTAATCCATGAGACATATTTAGGGATGGAAGTCATTGATTTATCTAACTCTTTTTTTGACAAAAAAGCTGATTGATACATCAATTAATCTTTTACCTATCAGGCTGCTGGCATATGCAGTTTTATACTTGCTGAGAGCCTAATTTATTCTTCAAGATTAAAATGCCGCTGCGACGCTCCCATAAGATTAAATTTCGGTGTAAATTTTGTTCCCCCATGCTTATGTTCCAGTTTTTTACGAAATAATTTAATAGATATAAGCCACTATGGATGTATTACGTTCGCATTATGTAGGTACCAATTTTGTGACTATAAGGTTTATTTATATAAATAACCATAACAATGATGTAAGAAACCACAGGCCTTAACTTTTGCTCGCCCTTGCCTATCTTCGGTATTTATAACAACTCTTCGAGATAGCGGCTATCAATTAGTATGATCGGATGTCGGTACAGAGGCTTGTGATATTTATTTATTGTAACCCATTAATTTGTACACAATCATAATCTGAGGGATATCAAATAACTAGTCTTAGCAGTTTTTCTTTGTCTATTAG